GACTGAAGTCAGGAACATTCTTAGATGATGTCAAAATTTAATTTATAAATAATATAATTATATTCAGGCAAAACTCAAATTATAATATTAAATTTAAGTTTTGCCCAGTCAAAACTAAAATTTGAGTTTTGCCTAAGCAAATTTTAAATTTGCCTGAATTTGAGTTTTACCTACAACATATATATAAGAAGAATATATAGCAATTAATTAGCAATGATTACCAATTAATGAATAGGCAGACAAGAAAAATAATATAAAGACAGTTTAATTTATTAATATACAACTGAGCAGGAAGAAATATTCTATTAAAGGAGTGCTTGGATGATCTTGCACTAATGATGATTTAATTTGAGTATGGGATAAGCCACATTTAATGTATTTCGATACCAATTTACGAACTGGTGACAGTAAGCGTGTGGTTGTATTACGTTTCTCTTCTTTATGTTCATGTTCATTATGTCTCTTGACATAATTGTCACTGCTTGTACATCGTCATCTGGTACGACTATCTGAATTTCAAAAAAGCATAATGGATATTTTCTGTACTCACCGCATTTGAACGAATACTTGGTATGATTCTCAAGTCTGATCGACGACATTGGCATACGTTGTATTGGGATTTGGATAATTCTTTTGCTTCTTCATAAGATTGGACTATGCACAAAGCGTTCCAGTCTTGCTTCGACATTGTTTGAATGGTGTCATGTACATGTTAGAGTAGTTATTTATAACCATTTATGAGTTGACAAAAATTTCAAAAAGCTTCAACTGTTGACGATAAAATTTCGAAAAACTTCAACCGTTGAAATTTAACTTCTACTCTCCTCATATTTCTTTTCTTTATATTATTTTTCTTGTCTGCCTATTCATTAATTCGTAATCATTGCTAATTAATTGCTATATATTCTTCTTACATATATTTTCTTTAATTTTAATGTTCTTTAATTGATTTGGTGATCAAAAATGTAGTTTTTGGTGATCAAAACACACTTTCCTCCTACAGAAATAAGAAAGAAAAAATTAATTTCGGGCTCTTCTTATTAATTCTATAACTTTGCAAAGAAAGGTGGTGTAGAGCTGGGAGATGTTTCATTTTAATGAGAAATTTGCGTGCTACAATCCTGAATTGTTAAGAAAGGCTTGGATTATCTTTTGGGATTTCTGAAAAACTGGTTTTCCAGTAGACTGGATCTTCGAAGAGCTATGGGGAAGCCGCATTGTCATATTCGGAATCAGCATGGTCGATAACCTATAACCCACTAGATGTCAATCAAAAAGCTTTTAATCACCTCGAAGGGTTCCTTCGTCAGAATAGTTGCTGCGTTATCTGATCAACAAACTTCTAATGCATCTTAGTCGCAGAGTAAATGACCAATGGCCCCAAGTGAAAAAAGGCGCCTGAAAACTTCGTCAAAAAGGAGACCCAGACCTACGACCGCAAATAGTTCTACTTAGTTCACACACAGTTTTAAAGTTGCTGTTTTAGAGTACTTATACCGTACTGAATTTCCTTAAGAAAGGTTAATTGTCTGACAAAATCTCGTATATTCTAAAAAGCTTATCTAGAAATATGAACGAATAAACAAAGAAGCGTTTTTGACTAGCCAACCGTAATGCAATATATTTGGCGCTATGAGCTTTAGCACATTATTATTCTGGACGTCTTCTATGTTCGCTCTAACTTAAATGACTTCACACAATAAAACAAATCTTGCACACAAAATAAAATAGTTTTTGTATGAGAATTTTAATACATTTTCATGGTGAGAAGTCTGTTATACTTGTATGTATTTTCATTTGATTTTAAGAGCAACTCTTAGGGACGAATATTTATTTCACTGTTCTTTACACGTGTAAAATAGACATTGACAAACTGCAAAGCAAACTAAAAAATGTTTGGAACTACCCATCAATGTGGTTATAACTAGAGACAGAGAGAGAAAAAGAATTCCATCCATATACGTTTATGTAGGTATGCACCTATAGACTGTAAACGTGACCTCAACTCTGACTCAAGCCCACTTTATGTCGTGTGCTCAATTAAAAAGTATTGTTTTCGACTTCGACAGAAAACACATTCCAATTAGGGATGGCACTTTCCCGTTACTTTCAGTTACTTTACTCCGAAAAGTAACAGTTTTCCGTTACTAGTTACTAGTAACGGGAACGATAATCCGTTACCTGTTACCGGTAACGGGTAATGGAAAGCCGTTACCTGTTACGAGTAACGGTAACAAAAATCCATTACTTTGCAAAGTAAGTAACGGAAGGTAACGGTAAAAGATTCTTGTTCGTGTTTCGACAACCCATTATTTATTTTGTTAAACTTCTGTAACTAATGAAAAATTTTTTTTAAAAGTTTCATATTTCTACCTTTAAAAAATTACTTTTAAGGCTCCCGAATTTGATTTTCGGAAATATCCCGGACTAAAATCATGGACCCTGAGGCAATCGACGATGTTGATCCGAATATTGCATTTCCTCTGGACTCTGGAAGGTAAAAATGGAATTTCAAAAAAGCAGTTTTCTCTTTTTTGCATTGGAAAAATCATTTCGTGAAGTGAGTGGACAGAGTAAATTGTGCTTTGCACAGTGTACAGGGCACGGAGTTCTGTATATTTCAGTCCCTTGAAACCACCGACACAAACTCTTCGTTTGCCTATTTTAAGGAGTGGAAGGACTGCGAATTTAAAAACAGTTTTGATTCTCTACATCTAGGTTTTTTATTGCGTGAGAATCTTTGCTTATACGCCTCCATTACTTAGCCGCATTTATTTTCTTTTAAAAAATAATTATAATATGATAAACTTGCAAACTATTGTATTATGGCTGAGGGCGCAATTTTACAACCCAAGACCAAGTGCTGTCGGATGCTCATCTACAGTATGCTTTAAAGCATCGTACCAATTTTTGAATCCGCTCTTTACGCTACGACATTTTGGATCGAAACATCTTGGCGTCGGATACACTGATCGATGTCTTAGAGTTATGTGATTTCGTAGGTTCACTAATCCAATAAACCCTGTAAAATGTTCACCGGTCCCAGTAGTCGTTGACTCGACCGAGCAGTATGGACACAAGTTTATAATTAGATGTTTCGCTGCTATGTGATTCCAAAGATCTCTTTCGTTTTGATACAGTCTACTACCACACCAATCATACTCACATCGTACGGGTTGCCCTTCGTTCGCTAACTGCTCTTTTTCAAACTGCTGTTCCACAGTGGTGGTCGCTAGATGTTGGACAACAACAGTTTGACGATTCGTCGGATGATTAGCTACTGACCGATGGCGTTTCAATTGGTTATTTGAACTAAATGATTCACCGCAATTAAAGGAATTACATTGGAATGTTACCGTAACTTTCGGTTTCGACGGATGCTCGTCGTCTATCTCTTCGTTAACAGACGGTTGTGTCTCTTGTAGCTGAATTATTACTGGATGTTCTTTGTCCCGATGACGGCTCAACTGCTTTATTGAACTAAATGATTTTCTACAATTGTCTTTATCACAAGTGAATGATTTAACTTTGGGTTTCTTCGTGGCTTTACCAGGACTTGGCGACGGCTGCGGCGGGGGTGGAGCCGGCGGCTGCGACAACGGTGGAATTGTTGAATTCTGATTTTCGATCAACTGTTCAGTATGTGGGTTCGGATCGTGCAGAGCAATCTGTATCGGATGCTCTCGAACTACATGGCGGTTCAGCTGCTTCTTTGAGCTAAATGATTTTCCACATTTATCTCGTTCACAAATGAATGATCGAACATCTTTCGGTTTCTCTGAGGATTTTTCCTGCTTTGACGTAGTCGCAGCTAGTGGCGTTGGCTGTGTTACATACAATGGAAATGACTTTGTACCACAGTTTTTGAGTTGAGCATCAAGTACCTTTGGTGCAACGTCCCTGTAATTGCAAAATTGAGATTGTATCAACTATACGGTTTCTACTTTTCAATACGGGAAGGCAATATAAGAATTGTTATCCGGTCGTAAGCCAGGGTCACATCACTCACCATGCGGCGCAAAATTTTTTTTTCTAAAATAAGAGACCTATTCTACAAAGGAAAAGCTACAAGTAACAAGCACAAAAAAGCTTTTTCATTTCACCCAAAAAGTTATCGCTTAGGGGCTTTGGGGTCAGAAATTCGGCCGCTTCTCCCAGTTTGCTTTTAGAAAAGAACGCTTGAAAACGGAGAAATTTTCTTCATGAAACATCACAATGTGTTTCTGGGCGAAATGGGAACTTGCAGTCTGTATTTCCAAAACGAAGGACCGATATGAACAAAACTCTAACTCACAGTGGACAATAATGTGGACATTAGGTGAAAAAACGAAGGTGGAATTTTCGAGACTTGAATAGGAGGTCATACACTTTAGAAATCCCTCTATCTTTTTGCTGTCGGAAGTTTTTTTCTGAGTGTCATTTTCTGTCCGACAATCGACAAGAAAGTTTTTGTTGAAAAATTCGACTGATGAAGATAGAAAAATTATTTCTTTGTAAACAGAATACGCCGCTTTTGAAAATCGTGCACCGTCAGAAATCAGGCCTTTCAGTCTATCTATTCGTAAAAAAAGATCTTTTTTTGGATATACTGGGATCGAGAAAACTTTCCTTCTTCGTTAAGCATTTTTCCGAAAAGGCGTGTTCCGTAAAGCGAGGTTTCCATTTTTCCCAAGCTCCGAATTCAATGCAACTTTTACACAACATTCTCATACATATGAGGCACCTACAGTCTACGTGCACAGATGCGCAAATGCTTCTGAGCTGAGTTATAGATTTTCCCAAAACCTCCGGTTTTTATGCTAAATCCGGGTTTGCTGAAGTACGAAGGTGGAACCTAAAAACCAAATAGATTTTTGGAATCAGCTCGAAAAACTGCGTCGAATGGTGTATAATTTACTTGGTTTGCATAATACTTTTAATTTCTTAGATTTTAGCATTCGCACGTGAAATTTTTCGCTCGCGAATTTAAAACAAAGATAAGAGACCACGACTGCATCTTAAGCATTTTTGTATAGGTTATCTTGTAGGCTCTTTTCGATGGCATGGTTTTTGTCTTCAGAAAAATTTTTCTAAGTGGTTTTGCAGAGACCGGATCTCTGAAAAATACCTCGAAAAACTGGTTTAAGATACAAAAACTATCCCATCGGAAAGAACATACAAGATAACGTACCGGAAAATGGTTCATATAATCTTAGGCTATATATAAGGCTCATATCAACGTGCTTGGTCAAAATTGCCCACTGTGTAACTTACGTAAATAAATATTCGATTCGATTCGAACCCCGTTTCAAATTTTGTGTCCAACTATAATTCGCTACAATTGCTGACGAATCAGCGTTTAAATGTGCAATCAATTCCTGGTAGCAGTTTTCAGTTCCGTGTATAACCCATAGACAATTATATTCATTTTTATACTTATCCGCCATAAGTTTCATACAAGCCCCAACTCCCTCGGGTTCCATCGATGCATATAGTCGAACATTCTGAGAATATTTTCGTGCCAACACCTGATAGTAGTCATCAGTTTCTTTGTCGAGTGCATTGTAACAAATATGATAGTCAAGTGATGTACCGTGATCTCCCATCACGAGAGACCCCGCTATAGCGTGTAAATAAAATGCTGGAAAGTCATTTGATTGAGCTAGACGATTCAACGTGTACGGATGCACGTTACTAAACAGTTCAAATCGACCACAATCACCATCTATTAGGACACAATGTTTGACACCATAAGTATGAAGGTTACTAGAGGCCATCGTTTTTTAAATCACAGAACGAATAAGAAGACTTTAGCAAAGTGCTATCACAAGTATAAAGAGTTTTAATTGAAATTAAAATCCTATATGAAAGAAGACTCTCACTTTTTTATCTGTTTACTTCTTTATTAAGTTACAATTTTCGCACCTTTCGTGTGTCACGCGTAGAGTAGACTTTTTCACATCTTTCTGTTTTGATACTTTGCATACATAAGTCAGGAAAGAAGAGAGATTTTTCTGTTCTGTTATCTGTCTATCGTTACAATTTGTCAGAGAAATCATTTCGATTACTTTTCTTTCGTCGGCTCTTTGTTTTTATTAGCTTTGTGAGACGCAACTGTGTTAATGAAATATTTATTTCCGCTAGAATACACGAAAATAAACATCATTTTCTTCTTCTTCCTCTTCCACTTTTCTATTTATTCGCAGCATATTTTTAATAAAAATAGACAAAGAGACAGACGACTGTTCTGCGGGAAGTGTTCATACACGATATGGGACCCCAGCCCGCGCGCAGGTCTCGAAAATCTGAATCGACAGTTCGATTCAGAATATTTTTCTCTTCATATACTGAATAAATCAGCTCCGTTTTTTCTAATTTATTTCATAGAGCGCTCGTGTCTACGCACGTTTATTTTATTCGTTTCGTACGCTAAGCAATAGAAATTCAAGATGGCTGCCATGCCTAAAACTCTACGTAGAGCGCTTGCTTTCCTCAAAAATAATGCAAAAACGTGGAATTTCTTGAATAGTTATTAAAGAAAAGCCCTAATTATAATTGTTGTCCTCGATGCATGAAAACGATCCTAAAATGATTTAAATATGAGCTTAAAATGATATCATGTTTGAGTCATTTTAAGACCATTTCATAAAATGATATAAAAATGATGTATATATGATAGAATTTGTAAAAATGATCTAAATATGATCCTAGTAATCTCACCCTCACCCTCCAGTAACTGCCATCTTGAAACCACCGACGACTATTTTTCTCTCTTGGGGGTACACTTCTCCAAGGGAGGTACCCCTGTGGCTGGAGATTTTGCGGTCACACATAGTCTATAGTCTTTCTCTTGATGAATGTGGACCCCATGCAAAACTTAGTTGCTCTGGGATGAAGTATGTGGATTTGTATAGCTGAACAAACAAACAGACCTTTTTTGATTATTTTCCGCTATACAAACTTCAAGTACTGGTATCTCATGAACGACACAACATCAAGACCTGAAATAAGTTGCGTTGACCTAGAAATTTTCGGCACTACATCCAGTGAAAATTTCACTTCGCTACGTTAAGCGGTTCGCGAGGTTTTAGCGTGACGGACAAACACATAAACTTTCAGCTTTATAGTTAAGAGATTAATACTAATTATCATTAATTAATGCTACTCTACTCTAATAAAGTCGGATTTGTCCAATAACTACTCAACGTACAAAACTGAGTTATACGTCATCTGATAGAGAATTTTACGGGCTACAACGTAGACTATCTTGTTGTTTTTTTTGAGATAAAATTTGGTTGTTCAAGAAATCTCTGATAAAGGAATTGTTCTCTTTGTTCTTCATGCGCCAAATTATAGAAAATAATTTTTTTGATTTCTTTCCGTGAAAATCTGTTGGTCCTCAAGATTCTCTTGTTCATCCAAAAATTATTCTTGATATTATTAGAACTCGTTTTCCAAATGATATTCGAGATTATATTGGAGTAAAAACAAAGAAACCAAAATTAACAGAATATCAAGAGGTTAGAGAGGATGAACAGACAACTGTTGAACTAAAGGATTCTTTATCAACATAGAAAATAAAAACTGGCAGGATATTGGTGGTTGGCACGATCTAATCTCATGAGAATGGGCCAATACTTTCGGCCTAGCTATTGTCAATATTTTATAAGAGAAAAAGGAAAAATTCCTAGTGTAAATTTTCTGTTCTTGATGCGAAACAAAAAGGATGAATGATTTCTCGTCCCTTAGATGATAAAAGTAAGACTTTTTCTTCGGTCTTACAAATAAGACTGATAGATTCGTCTGAAAAACCAATATTTTTAAACGAATATTTTTCATATATTTTTAATTTATTGAGTGTTGTTGGATTCTCATGTAAATTCACTATCTAAACGAACCACTACGCTTGACATCTGAAACATGAAATTATCCAAATCTGTCAATGTAAAATATAGCGTTGAGAGTTAATCATGAAAAAATTTTTTTTCTCACAATTCGAATGTGTCATAACCATCTACAAAAATATTTTCGGTAATATAACATCACTTTAGAGGAAAAGTCCAAGAAATGGAGGCTATTACAAATGTCCGTTTTCATCCAAGTGTCTCCGAAAAATAATCCTGCTTTACTCGCTTTCGACAATGGATGTTGGTGTATCAACATCTGATATTGATATATAAATAATAAATATTGACAGAACAATACCTACTACTGATACATGTAATGTTGATATATCTATAATAGATATTCGTGTACCAACATCAGATGTTGGTATATTGGTAATGGATGTTGATATATCAACAATAGATTTTGATGCGTCAGTAATAGACGGTGACATATCAAGGAGTGAGACAATGTTATCATTAGCTAAAAACTTTGCATGGCTTGGTAACAGTTGCGTGGGCCTGTCGCAGGAATTTTTTACTTACACTATTGTCTATAATGGAGCATCATGTGTTATAACAAGTAATGAACATTGAATAAAAGAGCTTATTAATATCTCATTTCTTTATTTCTTCTATATTATTATAAGAAAAAAGTCTTGAAAAGTAGAATCTTGATAGAAAAAAATTGATCGAAAGTAGAAAAAAAAAACTAATCACTAACAACAACTTTTTAAAAATATTTTTCAGTCTTTCTAATTTTATTTAATAGATCTTATTGTGTAAATGAATATTCATAAAAAACACTACAATTATATCGGCCATTTAACCGAATTTTTTAAACTTAGACGGCATTTTAATATAAATAATAAATTCTGAGCAAAAACTACAATATTTTATTCTAATACATAGCAATTCTTCCCCCACTCGGTTTTTCCTATCAGTTTGTAGAGGACACTTTGAAGTATATATTTCAATATTTTTTTTGGGTACCGGAACTGCAGTTTTTCAGAAAATAATTTTTAAGTTTAGTCTCCGTTTTCTGCTCCATTTTTAAAAGTTTAATAAAATTTTCAGATTTCTATATGTAACCTCGGTTTTGATGTGAATCGATAGAGGACATCAAGATGTATTTACAAAAAAGTCGGTCAAGCTTTTGGTCAAGCTTTGACTGAGTTATTCCGATTTGACCTGCCCGATGGCATTCTGAAGCAAGAAGTATTTTAAAAACACCTTGAACCAAATTTCTCACGAAGGAAACATTTTCAAGGAAAAGTGCGGGTACGAAAGTTGTTCAGAATCAGATTCCCTGGAATATGAACGAACGATTTTTCAAAATTCATTAAACTCGATTTTTAAATTGAAAAATACGACTTTTTAAATTTTAAAATTTAATTTAAAAGTCTGGTTTGACGAATTTTGAAAAATCGTTTGTTCATATTCCAGGGAATCTGATTCTGAACAACTTTCGTTCCCACACTTTCCCTTGAAAACGCTTTCTTAGAGCGAAATTTGGTTCAAGGTGTTGTGAAAATATTTTCGCTCAGCTAAAATTTAGAGAAATTCTTTAGTTTTGAATTGTTTTGTTAAATTTTCCAAGTTTGTAGAGGACACTTCGAAGTATATGTTCTGAAGTTTTTTCGGCATACTGACCTTGGTTGGCTGAGAAAAAAATTAATTACTTAAAAAAATATTGTTAAATTTCTGACCACGGGACTGTTATAAAAAAATTCTAATGAATGAATGGGACTCTAAAACTCTTAAGCTAGCCAGTCTTGTAGCTCGTGAAATTCTCTGTCAGGTGAGGTATAGCTTAAATTCTTTTGTTGAGCTTGCAAATGGGACTGTAAAGTAGTAGAGTAGGCTGAAGAAAATATGTAAACATTTTTGTTCTTTCCTTCCTGTTATTAACTAATTAGCACTAATTAAGGTTAATTCGGTCTACTCTACTACCTTACAGTCCCATTTGCAAGCTCAACAAAAGAATTTAAGCTATACCTCATCTGACAGAGAATTTCACGAGCTAGAAGACTGGCTAGTTTAAGAGTTTTAGAATCTCATTCATTCATTAGAATTTTTTTATAACAGTCCCGTGTATGCACTCAAAAGTATTGCGAGATTTAAAGCATGTTTTTCTTAGAATAAACTTAATTAGATTTTTTATCGTGATCTAATCAATGATTTCGACATAAAAAAACTTAGTTTTTGTAACCGACATCTTTTACCTGATTTTTCTCAAAAATTTGTCAATCCGGGATCAAAAGAATGTTATTTCCGTGATCTTTTAAATTCACGTCCTTAATATATTATAAGATTTAAGAGAAAGTTGAATTTATTAACAGATAAAAAAAGAATTGAATTATTTTATAAAAGTGCCTATCACCCGTCAACTTTAAAATAAAGTAAGTCGTAACAGAGTGTATAAACTACAACGTTTCTGTGGATAATATATTGAGAAAAATGTACGTTTTCCAGATGGCTTAAATATGACTTTCGGTCAATTTATATATTTTCATCATTATTTATTTATAACGATGATTTTGATGACGGTTGGAGGTTATCTTTTAATTTATTCTCTTTTTAGAAAACAGTATTTTTCTAACTGTGTCCTCTCGATTCGTCCATCATGAATTTTTATTCTGAATTCGTTCCTTCCCATTTTGTCCCTTTGATTTTTTTTCTCGATTCGTCCCTCGTATGCGCGCACAATAGTTTTGAGCTTATTTGAAAACACGTTCTATTCATCAAGATTAAATACCGTAACGTAATGTAACATTTTCTACTATTGCCTCTATTTTACCTTTGACTTCTTCCACTTTGATTTGAATTTTGTTTTGAACTTGTTAAAATTTATACCCTAGTCAACGTAATTGCTTATGAGCACTATTCCGAAC